GGACAATAAAACTACAATAACTTGAACAAAATATGACAGTTTTGCCTGCAAATAACATTTCTGTAATATTAGCGAAACATGTCTGTGTTTCGTGTCCTTTATTAAAGTCACGCACATTTGAAACTTCTTGGTTCAATGTGACTGATATATTTTTTTCAAATTACCAATGAAAAATTGAAAAGTCCTTAGAAGTAGGAAAGTATATTTTCTCATAGTTAAATTATCCCCTAGAATTACGATTTTTATCTTGTAACACATCACTCAATAAGTCTCAGGACTGACATATAAATGGCGATACCTTCTAATTTTCCTAAGTACAACCTAGTATACTAACTTTCAAACGACATGAGTCAAAATATGCTAATATCTTGTTTAGTTTAAAAGTTGCAATGGTTTTAGCGAAGTAACTTTTATTTGCTTAGAAACCATGGATGAAAAAGAATTTCATATGTTAGTTAAGTATTGCTTTTTGATGGGAAGAAACACTGTTCAAGCAAAACAGTGACTGGATAAGTGTTATCCGAACTCTGCTCCATCGGAAACAACTGTTAAGAGGTGGTATGCTGACTTAAAACGTGGTCATGCAGACACAAACGGCGCTGAACTCTCAGATCACCCAAATTTTGCTGTTCCAGATTTGCACCCAAATTTAGTTGTTCCAGAAAACATCAAAAAGGTCCATAAAATCGTTTTAGCAGATTTAAAATTGAATTTGTGTGAGATAGCAGAGTATTTAAAGATATTAAAAGGCAGTGTATTCACTATTTTACACGATCATTTGTTAATACGAAAGCTGTGTTCAAAGTGGGTGCCGCGTTTGCTCACTGTCAATCAGAAACAACAACGTATCGACGATTCACAGTACTGTTTGGAGCTGTTCAAGCAAAATAAACAGGTGTCTTTTTACGCAGATATGTAACAATGGATGAAACATGGAACCATTACTACACGCTTGAATCAAAATGATCGTCAGCTGAATGGGCAGCAGCTGGTAAAAGCTGCCCAAAGTGAATAAAAACTCAAGCGTCAGCTGACAAGGTTAGGGCCTCTGTATTTTGGAATGTGCATGGGATTTTGTTAATTGACATTGACTACTTTGAGAAAGTAAAAACCATTAGCAATGAATATTACATGGGTTATTGGATTAAATGAAAGAAAAAATAAAGGAAAAACATCTTCAAATGCAAAAAAAAAAATGCTGTTTTACTAAGATGCCACAAGTTCAAGAAAAGGATGGTCGAATTGAACAAATTGCGCTTCGAATTACTTTCCCATCCACCGTGCAGTCCAGATCTAGCCCCCCAGTGACCACTGGCTGTTTGCACACCTAGAAATAATGCTCCTAGGAAAGAAGTTTCGCTCAAGTGTACAAAGTGATTGCCGAAGTTAAAGCCTATTTTGAGAGCAAACACAAATCATTCTACGAAAAAAATATGAAAAAATTAAAAGATCGCTGGACTGCATATATCAGTCTTGAAGCGGTGTATCTTGATAAATAAAATTTAATTTAACCTAAAAGTTGTTATTTTATTCGTTGGTCCCGGGAATCATTGAGTGATGTGTTACAATAAAAATAATTATTAAAAAAAGGATTGGGGTGACTCAGTCACCCCGCGTGACCATTAACGTTAGTATCGACAGCGCGTCTGCTCCCGGTTTAAAGAAAAACAGAAACTTTAGAAACATGTTCAATTTATTTATCGAATACTTCAGAAAGTAACAAAGAAAAAGCTATTATTTTGATCCAATTTAAAAATCGAAATCTTAGCATTTTTTCGGGTTTAAAAAAAAATGAAAAAAAAAAATGTTTGATATAAAGGTCAGTTTCTGACCGATTAAAATCGAGTTTAAAGTACATTAATTTTCCTTGAGTTGGTTCGTTGACATTGATCAAAAGAATCAAGTTCTCAAAGAAAGTCAGAAATTAATTTCGAAACTATTTTGGAGCTCTAGATAAAAAATGAAAGTTGTTACACCCTGAATTCGACACACAGATAAAGACAGGCCTTTTATAAACAATGAAAACTTTACCGCAGCTAATAGACTCTATTTATATTTCACGCTTGACCTTACTATCAATCAAACATGTTAAACAAAAGTGGAAAAAAATGGGCAATCGATAGCTCTTCTGCTGCAACAAATAGGCCCATAAGAAGGTCAAGGACTAGCAGAGAAAGTTTATATGGAAAGGTTGTTCACACCGTGGGGATGTCCTTGGCCCGATAGGTCCAAGTGTATAATACTTTCTTTTTTTTTCATATAAAAAGCGTTGGATATACGCTGGAATTTTGTTGTTTCTCCAGGCTTATAGGCGTTCACTAATCACGTAAAATTCTTAGAATCTGGCTGGGTGTAATTTGTTGTTCTTTATAAGTTTTGAATCTTAAGCAGTTTGTGTGTTTGTTTTATTCAAGTCAATTTCTTCATGTAAGTATTTTTCAGGAATAATGTGTTGATTTAGTTATAATTCAAAATAATTTGGTTTTTTTTTTACTGTTATTAATAATAATTATTTATTTTTCATAAAAATATAAAATTATGACTTATCAATTTTAATTAAAAATATTTTCTGCTGTTTGTTTTTGAATTTAAGAAACGTAATTTAGAATAAAGAAAAAAAAATTAAATATTTTTAAAGAGGCCGAGTGAAAGTTCTTTGATTTTAAAATAGGATTTTAATGGAATTGAAAGTATTTTATAAACCAAAAAAAAATAAATAAAATAAAGAATTGATTTTATACATATTTTTCACTAAGCTAAGCTTGAAAGGAATTTTCAGTTTTATATTGTAACAATTGAAAATAAATGAGAAGAAAAGTGATGTGCTATTTTTATGAAATTATTTGTTTCTAATATGTATTTATTCCCCCAGAGAGAACCAAAAAATTGTTATTTTGAAATAGATTAAAAACTCGAGAACAGAGTAATTTTTTTCTGGTTTTCAATTTTTCATTCAAATACTTTAAACTTTTGATGTATCAAACTAAATTTGTACTTTCGTCTTATAGAAATATTGTGATATATTCTTTTCCGAAAGAGACTTTGAAAATAGTTTTTTGGACAGCAATTTATTGTCTTGACATTATAGATTTTTTTTGGGGGGGGGGGGCGCGGGGAGTTAACTTCTTTATTGATTTACTTTGCGGAGAAAACGTGCAATACAATTTTTAGTATTTCCGTGAACTGAATTTTAGAAATTTTTCCTGATATTTAAAATAAATTAAAACACTTGGATATTTATAAATTCGCACTAATGTGGAATCAATACTCGTAAGTGAAAGTATATTCTACGTTTTATTTTTAAAAATGCAATAATTGTAGAATTTAGAAATCTTAAGAATATTTAGTTTTACAGTTCGGGTAAAACCTTTTAGGTGTACAGATTCAATTTTACTAAATTTTGGTGAAGTATGTGTGCATTTATTTTTGTATTCAGTAGAATAATCCGACTTTTCAAAAATATTTTTTCATATGAAGCGAAATTAATGCTGCCGTAAAATCCGGCGTATAACACGCACCTATACTTTCAAGCTGCATTTTTTAGTTTTTAGGTATATTCGCCGCATAATGCGCACCCCCCTTTTTACGAAGGAGCATGGAATATAAGTGTGTAATGCCCTTATGTTTTGAAATCATTTATTAGAGGCATTATCTCAGGATTTTGAAAAAATAAAACTAGAAACTTTTAAATTCATTAGGAACGCCATTTAATGTAAATAAACTGTATTCCTGTCTATGTAGAAATCTAATTCTTTTATACTCTCTCGTCGCTTTTTTTTAATTCTTATTAGTTCACAATTTTCCTATATATCGTCGGTCTAATTATCAGACTGCGTAGCTCCATCTGGGATGCTAATTTGATACAGCTGGGCTAGGCGCCAAGTTGTTGTTTATGTTCGCCAAGATAGGCGATAATATTACAATATGGTTTACTTTGATATTTTTATCGTGCAATAATGTGGTTGCCATGGAGATAACGTATATTAGTGTTAGTTTTTCGTTTTGGTTTTATTTCCGCGGGATCTCTGCTCAGCAAAAGTAACACATTGTAACAAATTTTGTGTAATGAACGCTTAAAATAGTGTAAATAATTTATATATATCTGGAAGTGTAATACATTAATATTACTTTCTGTTGCATTTATTTTATGTTAAAATCTTGCCACCACACCTCTCCCTTAGAAACCTAGTTTTATTATGAAATAAAAAAAAGTAGTGATTACACTGATCGAGGAGTAAATTAAAAGCGGAGCGCGCACTGATGCATGACGTAGACAAAACAAAATGATTAAGGAATCGCGCCAAAAAGATTTTTATTGGTCTCCATATAACGCGGTACGAATGATGTGATTTGTACTAATTCTGAGTTTCTTATAGCGCGGTTTCCATACAACGTGGTAGACGGTTTCCATAGAAAGCGCTACGAATTAGCTAGTTTGTACGGTTAAATCCGAGTTTCTTATAGCGCGGTTTCCATATAACGCGGTACGCACTCACCGCGTTATAGGAGGGGGTTGACTGTACATTAACATTACTTTTTGTTGTATTTATTTCATGTTAAAATCTTGCCACCACCTCTCCCTTCGAAATCTAGTTTTATTATGAAATAAAAAAAAAAGTAGCGATTACACTGATCGAGGAATAAATTAAAAGCGGAGCGCGCACTGAGGCATAGCGTAGACAAAACAAAAGGATTAAGGAATCGCGCCAAAAAGCGCTTGGCGTGTTGCACTCCTATATCAAATCGTGGAGTTGCGTAGTTTGATAATTAGGCCGACGATATATTTTGTTCAAATTTTCAATCGTCAAGAGGTGAAATATTTTCTATTTATCCATTCAAGTTCAAATACATTCTTAAAACTTGTAATGGATGTCAATTGATGTTAATGTTAATACAGTTTTTTCAAATATTAATTCATTAGTTAAAGTTAATTAATGAATAAATAGTGACAAAAATAATAGTACAACACTACATATAAAAAGGAAAATGCTCGTTGTTGTGTCCCCGTAGCGCAACGGGTAGCGCGTTGGACTTCTAATCCGAAAGTAGTGGGTTCGAATCCTACCTGGGACGGCCTAATTTATGAGAATGTTATTTATGAATGAATAAATAGTAACACAAACAAAAATAATAGTCTAACACCATTTGTAGAAAGGAAAATCGCTTTCTATTTTTCCACTTAATAGTGTGATTCTGTCATATGTATATACATATTTATATTAATTGTAATTACTTAAAAAAAAGTAACCAAAATATAATTTTTATTTTTTGACCGACGTAGGAATCGACCTAAATTTTTTTTATACTACTTGTTTTTATTTTTGAAGCTATCATTTTTATACCCGGCGTATAAAGCGCACCCGTAAATTTCGATCTTATTTTTAGTGTTAAGATGGTCCGGCACATGAATTTTTAAAAAAATGATCGATTTTCACTTTTTTATATTTTCTAAAAGCTGAAATATTTCTTTTTAAATTGATATATGATATAAGGAAATGCAATAATTAGAAGTATTTTTATTAATTTTTTTAAATGAAACTACACCTTGGCGTGCATTAAATGAGCTCTGCTAGGAGTACCCGTATATTCCCCCTTAAATAAGTTTCTGACGAGCACGAATCCATATGATGTTCAAGTGGGGAAATTTGACTGAATTAGGCAAGTGATGGAAGATTGATTGATTGATTGAATATTAACGTCGCACTGTTCAGCTACACGAGAGCTTTTGGCGACGGACCACGTAATTTTGAACCATGGTCAAGTGACGCAAGTGATGGAAGAAGCCTAAGTGGTCGTAACCAACTCACCGACATTTTAATATAAAAAATTCAATGATATTATAGTATGGATATCAGAAATAATATCAATGATCTACACAGCATGAAAACTGTTGTTTGGGCTGTTTATTTTCATCTGTCTTCAAACGAGAGCCTTCAACATGGACTGTGTCCCGCGGATATGAATGCCTGGTGCAAATTTCAAAAGACAGAAGCTAAATGTAACGAGAGGCACTAAGAACATAAACGCATATACACGTGCTATATATGATAATGAATTAAATGAAGCTAATTTTTAGAGATCTAGGTGAGCCTACATTATTAAGAAAATGTTTAGATGGAAATACTCAGAACCCAAATGTGTCAATTAATAACACCCTATGATCAATGTTTCCAAGATCTACATTTGTGGAGTTAAAAACTTTAAAATTAGGGGTAAATATGGCTATTGTACAATTCAAAATGAGTCATGTAGCAAAATTAATGATTTTAAAACATTCTGATATTGAACCAAATTATAACTGTGTGTCATGCTTGGAAAAAATTGACGCAAGTAGGATTCGTGCAGCCCAACGAAAGCCTCTTGAGATTCCAAAAAAAAGGCAAAAATGTTCTAAATAATGAAAAAAGGAAAATTAGAAGAGTCTTTTGAATAATCATAGAGTAAAAAAATGCTTCATATGCTTCTGGAAAGTACTAAAAAAAGTAAATGATCAAAAAATTACAAATTTTTACTTTAAAGCCTGTTTTCTCAAAATAATAATATTTTTTCACTTTATGTGTGTGTGTGTGTATCTTTCTCAAAAACTACTTACCATATAATTCTCAAAATTTCAGTAAGCAGACTTTTCAGATGTTTAAACATTTTAATGGAGGGAATTAGATATATCTGGCAAACTTTGTTTATAGCTAAAGATTTTTTTTAAACTAAATTTTAGGGAAAAAAATTGAGCAATTTTTTAAAAAAATTCATAATTAAATTAAATTTTTTTAAAAAAGACAAAATCATTCGTTAAAGTGTTATTAATAGTACGCATAACCTACTGTAAAAATTTTATACATGAGAAATAAGTAATTTCTGAGAAAAAGGTACATGAACTTACGTAATTTAACATGGGCTCCTGTGTGGACGTGCCGGACCCACTTAAAAGTGCGCGTTATATGCCGGATATTACGATAATTCTTTATTGTGTATATCAGTGGTTCCCAAACTTATTGCTCATGAATGGTAAATGTTGACGTAAAAAATAAACTATAAACAAATAATGCGATATATACAGTAGTATTAAACCAAATTATAACTATTGCATTGAAATATAGAAACACACATATTTTTTTCAATGAGATGGGTGATTCAATTAGATGGTTATGTTTGTAACAATACAAAGAAAATAATACTGCTCTCTCTGTGCAAAACTAAGATAAATAGGTTTCATTCACTTATCATAGTCAGGATCATACTCAAAACAAAATTAAACCGCTAATTTAAGGTGACCAACCGTCTTCCTTTAGGGAGGACAATTCTCCTTTTATAGGTTCTGTCCTTCCTCGAAAAGTGTTCTCCTACTTGTCTTCCTTTCCAATTTTTTAAAACTGATCTGTTAACTCTATATTCAATTATGACCCAAACATGTTTCAAATATGTCGAAGAATAGTCTGAAACAAATATCACAGGAAAAAACAGTTTTCAATGATGTTTTTTGACTTCATCTCAAGTAAATAGGGTAGATTTAGAAAACTGTGTTGGTTTTTATGGAAAGAGATGCCTGATAAAATCGATGACAATCGTATGTTATAAAAAAGTAGAAGACTGGATGTATATTTAAGTTATAATAAATCAAAACAAGTGGAAAATCAACATGATGAAATTGATAGAAAAGATGGATGGAAATATTGAACCATTTCAAAAATGAACACATTCCATATGAGTTACTACTAAGTTATTTTTGTTGAATTTTCGTTGTGCTTCCCTGGAACTAATGTAGCAGTTCGAAAGAGTTTTTTTCAGCTGTTAATAATTTTTGGACAAGTGAGAAAAAAAAAACACCCTATTTAGTGAGAAAATACTTGTTTAAGGAAATAATTAAAATGAATGTAAGCGTAATTAGCGTATTTTTGTTTGAATTAATAAAATGTTTCATATATTTACGTTGTAACTTTTTTTTAAAGTTTTTCGTTCTCCCTTTCATTGTAAAAAAACTGGTCACCTTAAACAATTTGGTGCATTTTATATAAATGTTACAAACAATTGAATTCTTATTTATTTATTATTTGACAGAGAAAAAGTTACAATAAAAAATATTTTTGTATTCACATAAGGGGAACGAATATTTAAATAATTTGCGACATAACCATCCTGTGATGACTATGTCTATTAGGATCCGCGTAAGCTAGAGGTGTGGAATTATCTAAATGATGAGACATATTGGATTCTTAATACAACTTTTATTAAGAATAACTTATATTACTTAATTCTAATTGACAACTTTCTTAAAGTGAGAGTTAACACCCAATTAAACCTTATATTCAAGTCAGATCGCGCAACTAGATCATTTATCTTAATTATAATAAATTAACTGATTCATCTAACTTCCTATACCAAAATATTACCTTTTGCAGAGTCTCCTTCCTTCATCAATTGAGGTAATACCTATAACTTAATTTTAGATGCGAAGATTTAGACTTCTTTATAATTTAATTTATATGAACGTATCCTTCTTCTAGAGCTATAGGACATCTAACTCTTGATCCGAATTATTCCACACTAAGTTATCTCTAAACTTGCCGCTCTTTCTCATCAAAGCTTCTATCCTTTTAAAGTATATCTCATTTACATATTCTATCCGTTTGTCTTCTTGGTATTGGGTTGGAAAGGTTTTGCCATTAATCGTGGCCGTCAAAGAACATAGGAGTTATGTTAGAAGAAGGACGCGAGAGACGTCACAAATTTCTCTATGAAAGTATATAATTGCTATAGATACAATAACACAAAAGTACTAGTAAAAACGCAGAATAAGTAAGATAATAACTAGATTTTTACAATGGCCGTTAGCAACACAAGTTGAGTCTGCTACCAGCACATTACCAGATTTAGTACATAGGATAAGTCACAAGCGTGCTTTTTAGTACATAACTGTTGTATCTCAGTCAACAGAAACTTAAAAAAAACACTTCATTAATATTCAAATTAATATTTAAATGTCATTCATGCAAAAAAAAAACCCGTTTTAATGTACATGGAATTTGTCTCAACAATAATAGTAAGGAAGTAGTTTTTGTGTAGAGATCATATATAACATGTGTCTGGTAGTGTTAAAGTATTGCATTTGGTCAGGGGTGGGCAGACTTTTCGAGGGCGCGGGCTACTTTTAATTTTTTCAAGGTGTTGCGGACCACCCAATGGCGTAGGTGTTGTGAACTCAAAGAAAGTATACAATACAGTCGGACCTCCATTTTACGAAATTCTCTATTTAGCGAACTTTTTTCTGGTACCAATAACATTTTACGATTTTCTTCGTAAAATAACCTCCATTTATCGAAGTGCATTTTCTGTGTTCAACGGAATTTCCTCTAATGATTCGATTTTTTCCTCCGTATTTTTTTAAAATACCGTATTTACTCGAATCTAAGCCACACTTTCTCCCCAATGTTAATGCTACTAAAAATTAGGCACGGCTTAGAATCGAAGGGAAAAAATTTGTTGGATGGGGTATTTAGGGCAATTACAGTCTCATGCATGTGCTTATAAAAGAGCTTATACTGATAAAAGGACTGATTATATTCACTTCTTACTAGTTTTCCTTTTAAATTTATTTTAATTTCATAAAATTGGATATCGATAAACCGTTTTATAGACTATTTTTCAATTTTCATAAAATCTTGTTGAGAAATTGGAACACGGCTTAGATTTGAATAAATACGGTATTTCTAGACCTTAGTTTGATGGAATGATTATTAGGTCTTAGTGAAGGCGGTCACCTCAAAATGTCTTGGTAGTCCACCGGTCGATCGCGATCGACTTAATGCCCACCCTGGTATTAGGTGGTGTTCTAACATTTTAAATGTACCACTGGCCATTCCCACAAATAGTCATTGAAACATAAATACATTCACGCCGTTCTTTATTTACTTTCCATTGATTTGAAAATTGTCGTAATCTATATAATTAAACATTAATTAATAGGTGTTAGCTTTTATGAAATCCACACAAGAAACTCACTGAGACAGCATGCGGCCTTAAGGTCGCAGGTTTCCCACCTCTGGTATAAGTATAATATCCTTGAATACAAAAACATT